CCGATAAAGGAGTTACACTTTCATCTTTATCCTAAAGAAGTGGCTGTTAGCAACAAGTTCTGTTTTAGAAACCACCCTATGGCAATCAGTCTCTTACTCATCAGCCCCTCAGTCACTGGACCTCAGGGCCCTTGCCTGGCCTCCACTCCCTCAGCCTCCCAAAGAGTCCTCCCTTCCCCTCAGCTTCACTCTGAAGCCTTCCCTCTCCCTCCCCAAGAAAGTCATCTGACCAGTCTTGCTCTTGCTGCCAGACACCTGGGACCCATAACCCTGGGGCATCTTTCCCCCATAATTGAACACTAAGATTTCTTGATAACACCTTCCTAACCTAATTCTTTGTCAAGAACAAGAGTCAAGTTGCCTCAACCCCTTTGTGTGTGTGAGGGGGTGGGGGGAGGGAGAAATAAGCAGAGTGAAAATGATCAAAGTAGAAACCAGTTTATACCACCTTTGTATTTGTGACAATCCCTGGTGCAAGGCTGAGCCCAAAGGAAGTTTTCCATAAATGGCTGATTTACGTGATTGGCATGTACTTTTGTGATACAACACAGAGTGTCCCCTCCCCTGTGAAAATTCAACTGCTGTGACTTCTTCCTGTTTTAATCAACATCGTGGGGCTGAAATGCTGGACCTATTATAGGTGCTTAATGGGCTTTTATGGATTGATTAACCACTGGAGGGACAGTGGGTTGGGTAGGATTTATTAATGTTTTTGACGCCAAATGGTGGTTTTAGTGGAGCATAGCATTAGAAAAACAAGTTGTGTTAGAAACACAAAACCCCAACCAGCACAGAGGCTGGCAGCCGCTCTTGTTTCTACTCACTATGTTCCTGGAAACAGATGTCCTGTCGAACTTGAGGGTTCTAATGAGGCTTCTACTCTTCCAAGTGACCCGTGTGTTCATGCTTGCCCCTCTGCCATGTGAGTAACTCTACTCTAAAACCCATGTTCAGTTCTGGGTCCAAGACTTGCTGCTGCTAAAGGCAAAAGCAATGTCATCCATTCTACTGTATCCTCCACAAGGGGAAGGTGCTGGGAAAATGACAAAAGACATTGCATTCAGATGTTGTGTGTGGTGAGGACACAGGCTTTGGAAGAAACCAGGCTCAAATTCCAGCTCTGCCACCTGCTCACTGCTTGGCTGCACCCCTCCCTAGGATTCTCTCTAGGGGGTTGATAATATCTGTTCCACAGGTTGCTGTGATTGAGAAGATATCCAGCAGCACTTGGATATGCTTCCCCTGCAGTAGCCACTAAGTAAATTAAGGGGTGAAGTCTGTCTTGGCACACTGGGGCTGGGTGGCACCCCTGGGCAGTGCTGACATGGCTGCCTCCAGATGATAGGCCTTCTAGCACAAAGCCTTTGTCTGCCTGACCGCACAAAGAATGGTCTATGCTCAAAGCAGGAACACAGGTTCTGGAGAGGGCTGGTCTACTTCTCCATGACCTATGAGATCACTCTTTCATAACCCATCATCTTGGCATGTACATATTCATTCTGATTTCAGGGCTCAGTTTGGGACTCAAGTGAGGGAGGGCTGGCTTTTGGGGTGCACTCCACAGAACTGATACCAGACTTCCTAGAGAAATCTTTTACCATGGTGAAGAGGCTCCCATGTGCAACAACCAAGCTCCATACAGTACACAAAGAGATGCATGCCAACCATGGTGTACAGCCCATAGAACACAGAGTAGGGTAGTGAGTAACTCAGAAGAGATCCAGGCTCCAGCAAGATATTCAACCCAGGTCTGGTTGATATCACTAAGCCCTAAGTACTCTTGAATAAACTGCAATGCTTCAGTGGAACAAAGTTCACATATAGACCAGAACAGACCTTTAATGAATAGCAGTGTTCACACCAAACCAGGTGGGCAAAACTCTAGGGAAGACTGAAGACCAGGTTTCAGGCATCAGAAATCCTATTTCCATCCAGACTCAGGGTGGGAAGCGGGTAGGGTGAGGCTTACTGTGATTCTAATTCACACAGCTTGTCTTGTTCTCCCTGAGAAGCTGACACCTCTGGTGCGCAGATATCAAGCTCTAAACCTGGAGATTTTGCAACATTCCAGACCCTGTACCCTTGGCAACCCCTCAGCCAAAGGAAGTCCTCCTCTGCAACAGAATCCCACACCTTCTCTGATAATGTCAGCAGGGCAACTGGAAGTAGCCCAGGAAGGATTCTTGGAGTGTATATTTTCCTCTTCCTCTTCCTCTCTTGCTAGGGGAAGTGCTCTACCACTTGAGCTACACATACTCCTAGCCCCTTTTGCTACAGTAATTTTTCAAATAGGATCTTGTTCCACCAGTTACCAGATTACAGTCTGCTAATCCTCCTACCTCAGCTTCCCAGGTAACTGAGATTACAGGGGTGCACTACCACAACCAACTCGTTCGTGGAGATAGAATCTCACTAGCTTTTTGCCTGGGCTGGCCTGGAACCATAATGCTATCTCTACCTCCCAAATTACTGGGATTACAGGTATGAACCACAATGCCTGGCTCTATTTTCTTCTTTGATTTCAGGCTCATTCAGCCATTCTGCATGCCTCAAATGGCCAGATCTTAACCTAAGCCAGACCCTGCAAACATTGGCCACAGTTCTGTAAGCTTACCGCTGTCAGGGAAGCTGCTCAGAATATGAGGGGAAGGCAGTTCTTACACAGCCATTGTTGGGATATCTATGCAGATCATCTCAAAAGGATGGCTTCCTACAGGACTGATCCATGCCTCTGGCTTTGTTCTTTCTCTTTTCATTGAGTTACCTACGTATTTATTTTAACTCCCAAATAATCCCTGCCTTTCCATTTTACTATCTACACTCTCTTCCAGCGCTTCTCAGTCACCTTTGCATGAATTTAGTATTCAAACCACATCAATAGCTCACCTTCCGGTGATGCTCCTTCCCCTCCCCCACTCCTTCCCGGTCCCTCTTTGAGGCTCTTCCATCACTCTTAAGGTCTCACCAGTTTCCCTGGCCGTCCTGTCATCCAGGGTGGATTTCTCCCTGAAGAGCTCTGCTCTGACCAGGATACCATCCCCCCACTTCTTACACGAAAACTCCACAGTGTCTTTCTGTTTTTGTTTTTTTTCTCTCTCTCTCTCTCTCCAGAAAATGTAGTTACACTAACACCAATGGGCTATTTCCCTGGGGTCTTCATTCCCTTTCGCTGACAGCATCCTGCTACCCTCAGTAGATTATTATTATTTATTATTTATCAGTCACAGCACTGTAACTGTGCTTTCTACAAGATATTAAAGAAGACAACCTCTGCACTGAATTCGCAGCCAAGGAGAGCAGAGCTCTAGATCAGACATCACAGGGAACTGAAGGAAAGGGGTTCACTCACCAAGACCTCCCTCTGCCCAGAGGACGGGGCCGGATGGGTTAGCTGGCAAAGCCCCCCCCCCCCCCCCCCGCTCCCCTCCCCTGGCCCACCTTGGGCCCCAGAGGGAGCAACTCCCTACCCAACTGCATTCCCTCACCACAGGCCTCAGTGTTGGGGCCCGGGTGCAAGGGGATAAAAGGAGAGTGGGAGGAGGAGGAGGCCCACCAGCCTGGGTCTTCGGTCTGGGAGAAGGAGGCGAGAGGGGAAGGGGGAGGAGAAGAGCTCGTTCCTCTGAACGTTAAAGGCCAGGTAGGAGGAGGTAGAGGAGGAAGGAGAGAGGTCAGGGAATTAAAACAAGACCTAGACAGTTAGTAGGGGGAGGAAGCGCAATGCAAGAATGAAATGTTCTGGCAAATTGGGAAAACTCACTAGCGTGGCCACAGGCCTCCAGCCAAACTTTCCTCTTAGGGTTGAAGCTGCAGGCGTCCGGGGGGAGCAGGCAGAGCGCGGGGAGGGGCAGGGAAGCCCGCGCGGACACAGAGCCGGCTGCGGTGAAGGGAGGGTGGCAGCGTGGGAGAGGAGCTAGTGTGGCCCGAGTGGCCCCAGGGGGGTGGGTGCGAGCTGGAAAGTTCCAGTACGCCGAGGAGGAGCTGGGAGCCAGGGCCGACGGCGGCGGGCGGGGGGCAGGACTGGCGGCCCGGCCGCCCGGGTCCTCCGGAGCCACAGACCGTCGCGGCTCCTTCTGGTGGCTGGAGTGTCACAAGGAGAGCGGAAGCTGAAAGACGGCTGGACTTTTCTTTCACAAACTTTTCTAGCACTTTCCTCAGGTGTGGAGAATACTCGGAGCTCGCCCGGGTCGCGGTCCTCCAAACCCCGGCCGGCGGGGCCCAGCAGCCAGGGCCACGCGTTCGAGCAGTGTACCGGGCGCGGCGGCGGAGCCAGGCCAGCCTGGAGCCACTGCAGGGGGACGGAGGCGGCGGACGGACCGACGGACGGACCGGCGGACACACCCGCTGGCACCTCGCCCCGGCCTGGCGCGCCGCGGCCCCGGGGATCCCTCGGGCGCGAGGGGCGGCGAGCCGTGCTGGGCCGGGGGCGCCCCGCCTCCCCCTCCCTCCGCCCCGCCCACTCGGGCGCCCGTGATTGGCTCCGCCCGCCCCTGGCTGCGCGCCGAATCCCGCCTCCCTCGCAGCTAAAGCAGACGGTACCCGGAGCGGAGCGAGCCAGAAGGGAGCATGGTCCCCGCGCCGCGGCCGCGCCAGCCCCCGCGCCGCCGCCGCCGCCGCCGTCCCCGCCACCGCGGATCTAGTCGCAGCTCCAGCCCCGGCCCCGGCTCCGGCTCCGCAGCGCCCGTCCGCAGCTCCGGCGATTGCCGCGCGTGAGCGCAGCCTTCCCCCCCCCCCCAACCTTCCCCATTCCCCCGCCCGGGAGCCCCGAGCCCGGAGCCCGGAGCCAGCTCCAGCCCCGCGGCCGCCGCGGCTGTGGGGAGAGGGCGGGGGCGATGCTGCCGGAGCCGCCGCCGCCGCCGCCGCCTCGATGAGAACCGCGCCGCACCGCGCATAGCCGCACAGGCTGACAGGCAGAAGGACTGACTTCCCTCTCCCGGGCATCCTCCCTGGGCTGCCGGGAGGCGGCGGCGGCGGCCGAGGAGGAGGAGGAGGAGGAGGAGGAGAAGGAGGGGAAGGAGGAGGAGGAGGAAGAGGAGGAGGAGGGAGAGAAGGCGGAGAACAGAAACGCGAGGAGCTGGACCTGGATCCATTTCTCCCGGCCAGGACGCGAGCGGCCCCCGCCCCCGCCACCCGCCGGCGCCGTCCCCTATTCATCAGCCCTCCTGCGCCCACCCGCGACCCCGGGCTCTGCGCGCGTCGGGCCGGGGCCGGAGCGACGCGGCCGCAGGTAAGAGCCGAGCGCGGCTGGGTTGGGAGGGAGGGGTGTCCTGGGATGCGGCGCGGGGCCCCCGGGTCCTGGGGGTGCTCGCGCCGGGCCCGGCTTAGGGAGCGGGGCCCTGGAGCCCGGAATGCTGGGCTCCGCTCTCGCGGCGGCGGCGGCGGCTGGAGCCTCCCGCGTCTGGACTCACCAGCATGCCGGAGCCCTTGCGCCTGCGCCGCTCCAGGGGTTAAAAAAGGGAGGGGGAGGGAGAAGGAGAAAAACTTCCTGCCCCCGAGCGTGTAGGTAAGGGGCTGCCCGGGGTGGGGGGGGGGGGGCACCGTTGCGGTGATGGTGGGGGGTGCTTCCAGCCCGGGCAGCCCTGGGGCTGGGCCCGGCAGCGCGCAGCGCACCCCTCTTCAGGCCACCTCCCCCTGCACAGCCTAGGGCCCCGGCTGGGCTGGGGGCCAGGCGGCACCGGAGGGGGGAGGTGGAGAGGGGCTGAACCCCGGGCGGGCCGCGCGCCTCGGTGCCAGGGGAAGCCAGGTAAGGGGCTCTGCCCCGTCTTATCCTCAGACCCTACATTGGGGGGTGGGGGGGAACTGGGTTTCCTCACTTGATCCTAAGTAACTTTCGAGGTAGAAGAGCTTGGAAACCGTGGAGAAAGGAACAGAGATCTTGTTCTCCCCCCCCCCCACCCCTGCCTGCTTCCCTTGACACCTCGTGGGGGCCGGCGCGTTGGGGAGGGCGAGGAGCGGCGAGCTTCGGGGGGAGGGCGAAGGGCGAGGGGGTGGTGTCGGTGGGGAGGGAGGGGTTGTTTATGTGTGGGGTAGCGGACCCGGATTCGCGTCGTGTGGCGGTGTGGACGCGCGCCCAGGTTGCCGCCGCTGGGGGGTGGGGGGAGGTACGAGGTGGCGACGGTGGACTCAAACGTCCGGGTCTGCGTGGCCTGGAGCCGACCCAGAGCGCCAGGGTTATCTGCGGTCGTGCGCGGGTGCCCGCGCTGGGCAGCGTCCGCTCCGGGCGGGCCCCGGGGGAGAGGCGTGCTCGCCCGGGGCCGGAGCGCGGAGCGGGGAGCCGGGGGTGAGGTCCCAGGCAGCTCCCGGGGCAGGGAAGGCGGGGACCGCACTGCCTGCCTGCGGCTAGCCGTGTGGACCGAGGGGTGGGGGGGGAGGGGGTGGCGGCGGAGAGCCAGTTTCAGATGCCAGGGTCCGCGTGCTGAGAAGCCAGTTGTGGTCCTGGGGCTCTGGGATCGAAGGCAGAAGCGGTGGTCAGTTGTCAGGTGCCTCTCGCGTGTGTCCCGGAGGACCTGGTGATGAGCGGGAGGAGCCGCCGCCGCTGCCATCTACGCCGCTCGGCGTCTCCTCTCTCCCCTGCGATGCTCGCGCCACGGCGCGCCCCGGGCGACTCGTGGACGCAGGTATTTATGTAGCATTGGGCGATACCGCTTCGTCGCCGCCGGAGGGACTGGACGTGGAGGACGCCCAGCCGCCCGCTGCACCGGAAAGTTCCACTGGTCAGCCCCGGGACGCTCAGGCTCCGCCGCTGCGGGCTTTCCAAGCCCGTCTTCGGCTGAGCCACGCAGGGATTCGGACTCTTCTTGCAGGGACAGATCTGTCCTGGTTACAGCTGTATTTACCCTAATTTCAGTCTCTTTAAAGTCATGCGTCTAGTCACTACAGAGTGTTTTCCCCTAGCCGTGTGGTCTGACTGCTTAACTCAGCCTGGGTAGGACGGATTTGAGAAATTCTTTCCGTGTAGGATGAATGGCAACCGATTTAATTAGCCTATTTTATTCCTGACTTTTTTTTTAATTAAGGAAGGACGTTTGTAAAGGTGACTTTTAAATTTTTTTACTGGGGGGGGTGGGTTAAACACTTTTCTAGATTGTTCATCCCAACAGAAGAAATATGTCCAGTGAGCGCAGGTGAATATCGTAAGGGCTGGTTGTGCTGGCAGTTCATTAGTCACACAGCCTATAGGTAAAGAACTGTGTGCCTACAGAAGACCTGGTCTCTGTCCCATACATTGTTCTGGAGTACTTTTGATTTATCACCTTGCTTCAGATCAGGGAATTACTAGCATGTGTGCCCTTAAACCCTGTACAAATTTAATGACCTTTAAATTAGTTTATAGGATGATGCAATTTTAATAACTTTTGTGCATGAGCATCTTATAACCCATATTTGTTCATGATTAAGAAAAACGTTTTCTTCTGTTCAATCTTTCCCATTTTTAGGACAGTTATAGAGATTCACAGGTCTCCAACTTTCATTTGCAAGCCACAGTAACCAACGAAATACCTAGAGTTTTACCGAAATAAAATATCCTATGGTAGCCATGGTAACAAATAGATTAAGGGTTATTGGTTTTCATATGTATGTGGTAGTGGGGGGTGGGGACCTGGTGTTGTGACTCTTTAATTATATTTCTAATGAGTGGTGGTCATGATTCAGGCACTCCATGTGGAGATAAGCTAGACCAGAATTCAGTTTTGTGAGAGGCTTATTGGAACAAAGACTAGTTGGGCTCAAGAGAAGGACTTCCAGTAAATACACACACACACACACACACACACACACACACACACACACTCACACACACATATACCAGAAAACAAATGGATAAAAAACCCTTTTTGATTTGTTGATTTTTTTCAAGTAGGTGAAAATTGAGTCAGTCCCTTTAAGATTAGAAAATATATTTTGCTTATAAGCTATTACCAAAGCAACCTTTAAATTCAGTCCCTGTTTTCTAGGAATAAACACATTAGAAGTGTGGCTGTTGGTGTAGATGGAGTGTCACAGTTTGTTATCAACACCTGTCAGTCTAAGTGAGGCATATCATTAGTCTATTCAAATCTTGCCTATTTCAATATTCATGCATTTCCATGGTGATCCATTCGTTTCTGTTTACTTAGTCAACCTTATAAATCTTTGGCATGAATTTCAGTTGTGCCATCTTTTTTTTGTCTTTTGTTTTATCAATTGATTTGTCTGCAAATCATGACGAGTTTAAAATACTTCCTTCCTTCCTCCCGCTAGTTTCCAAAAGTTTACACTATTTCTAATGACGCAGATATAAAGGAGTTAATTTTTTCCCTGATAACACCATCAATGCTAATGTGGTTGTATAGCATCTCATTTGATGTGTGTATGTGTGTGCGTGCATGTGTGCGTGAATGAATTACTTGTTTTTTACCTCCTTCCTCCTCTTCGTGTAGGCTTACTGTAAAACCATCTGATTTATGACCTAGAGATATCAGTTCAATCCCACAGAATTGACTAAAGTTTTTCCTTTCTTTTTCTTTTTGTTTTTAACCTTCTTCTCTTGGCTTCATTATGGCTTAAGGATTCTTTGTGTCTTCAGCTGTATCTAGCTTGGAAAGACTTCAAGTCTGTATATTTGAGTGGGTTAGTCTTTCTAGGATCTTTTAGCTAAAGCCAGGAAGTCTTAGAACATTAGAGGATTTTTTTCCCTCCAAATAGAATATACATTTAGTCATGGCACATAGTGTCTCTAGAATCATAGTAATATTCTAAGTCTTGGAACAGGCAGATATACTTAATTTTGTTCATCCACTTTTAACTGCTTTCTAATGGTACGATCCCATACTAAACATGACCTTGTATATTTCAGAAATATCAAGGCAAGCATTAGTGCGCTACTGATTTACTAGGATCGGGCAAGTAATTGGACCACTTAAGTTCAAAGTCAGAAGGAGAATTGGAATTAAAACCAACCTTGTGAGTCTGTAATCAGTCAACTAAGCGCCTACTTGAGGGTGGGATGAGGAGGAAGCATTGTGAATAAGAAATCCAACCCTTGGCTCTCCTGAATGAAGATAAACCAAAGCATTTAGGGAACAAGGAATCTTTTTGTAAACAGATAAGTCAGGCCTTTTTTTTAGTAGCTTGCACTATGTACAAACACACACACATGTATATAAACATATATGTAAACATAAATGTTTAGAAAATGGAGAATATTCCAACCTCTGCATAAGATAGCCACTTATAGCTAGGCCCTGCTGGCTTATGCCTGCAATTCTAGCTACTCAGGAGGCTAGATCTGAGAATGGTAGGTAGAAGCAGCCAAGGTAGGAAAGTCCATGAGACTCATTTCCAAATAAACCACCAAAAAGCCAGAAATGGAGGTGTTGCTTATGTGATAGAGCATCCCAGTCTTGAGCAAAAAAGCTAAGGGACATCACTGAGGCACTAAGTTCAAGCCCTAGACCTGGCACAGAAAGAAAAAGAAAGAAAGGGAAAGGAAGGGATCGGAATCACTGCCCAGGCTCTAGTTAAGCCTATTTTTTGTGTTTGTTTGTTTTTTTTTAAAGCCATTTATTGTTGCTTATTTAAAAAAAAAAAGCTAGGATCATCTTTTAAAATGCTAAAACATCAGGTAACAATTGCCTGGAAAGAATTTAATATTTACAGTTGATTTTACTAAAGAAAATAGTTTTAATAAATTTAGTTAAGAAAAAGTACGTTGAAATCATTTACCTGAACCTTGGATCAGAAATGCTGGGGAAAAGAACCATTCTGAAATCAATCTCTGTAGTTGTTCCTACAGCAGCTACACAGGGCCTCTCTGAAAGTCGGAGGTAGGAACGGCAGCGAGCCCTGTCTTCAGGGACTCGTGGAGAATTGATGATCATCAAAAATCCAGGCAGAATTCCTCCTGAAATGGACTTCACTGTTTGAGGACCTTTCCACCTTTGAGATGGGAAAAAGGAAGAAGAGCTCTCATTTCCTGTGAGGCAGAGGAGCTTCGTGAAACCGGAATGGTTCCGAGACTGTGCTGCAGCTGTCTGCTGAATGACTCAGAACCTGAAATAAGAACCCCAGGAGCATGGGTGCGGCTGGGGATCTGGTGTGGGTGAAAAGGACAGCTCCCCAGACATTTAAAAACTACCACTGACCCCACAGGTGTCTATTTTATAGTTTATTTTACAATTTATTTTTATGGAGGTTGGCAAAGTTTAAATAATTGATCAATTTGAGATACATACATAGTACCTACAT